AGATCGAATCTCATTCAATCTGAACCCTTCAATTTAAATCAAATCCGAGGCGTAGAATTCAAATAGTTTTTTAAACCTACGCCTCAAATTCAAGCTTGTTCCCTACGCACCTCATCCAACGTGTCTGCTTCTAGAAGCTCTAGCTGTTCTAATAATTACGATTTTAATTTAACGGCGACAGGCGCTTTGGAAATCGCAGTGGTTCAGCCAGCTTTCCTCGAAAACATGCGCAAAACATCAAATTATTGGCACAACTGCCGAGGCACAATTATTGTCAATGAACCTCGGCTTTATCTATAACATTCAACCATCAAGCCTCGCAGGTTCGGTTTCCCAACCACCTCGGCTTCATCTACAACATTTAGCCATCAAACCTTGTAGGTTCGATTTCCTAACCACCTCGGCATAATCCTTGGCTTCTTCATCATTCACTCGCGACAACACATTTCTAACTCCAACCATGATATAAATATCTATACTTGGACATAGAGGACTATTATTTAGGTTCAAAAATTATATTCTTTCAATTTTTTACCCAACCCACTGGTTTTACTTCATCAAAGTCCACGTATTACATAAATGACTATACTTGGACTTGGGGGACTATTGTTACGTGTTGTCATACTATGCCAACATACGTGGGCCTATGGCCCACTCAATCCGAGCCACGGTGGCACTCCAGCCGAGGTGGCATGTATGGCCGAGGCTCGTCATGCCGAGGCCCATATACCTAGGCCTTTAATGTTGCCGAACTCCATACGTCGAGGCCTGTGGATATTTCCGAAGCCCTGCAGCAGAAGTGATACGTGAGCGACAGAAGCCCCCAAACCTTGAAGGAACTTCTTCCATGATCATCTCTCCCAAGAGATCTTCTACGTAAAGATTTTGTTTGAATGATTGATGGAACGTTTATCATGAGTGCATATGTCAAGTCTTATCACTAGCATGAGGGTTCTGCACAAGCAATAAATGCGCAGCAAGCTAGCAAGTCAAGGATGATGACTAGGATTGGATGTTTGAGTTAAGGAGATGAGGCCAGATGCCACCTCATCTAAGGGCTATCATTTCACATGTAACACTATAAATACTTTCCCTGTATAACATTGAAGGGCTAATGCAAGAATCAATACAAGAAACCACATTTTACTCTCTTATTATCTTGCAACACACACGAGTTCATACGTATTTAGATATACATTTACAAACGTCGATTGGTAATTATTGTACAATCGGATTAAGAACGTCCCGTCGGATTCCGAACGTTCTCGTCCCGCGTCGTTGAGCTACTCCCATGCCCCCGATTTGTTCGTTCTAGACCGTCCATGTGTCTTAACGTGTAGGACCTTCGCTCACGTGTGCGCGGGTGGATCCGACATCTGTTGGCAACACTTTTTGGGGTCAACAACTTATAGTACATAAAAGTATACTAATGACGGTATCGTATGCAAAAATGCTCGCAGTATTCTAGATAAAGTACTGCATATTGATGCTTGTCAAACTTGCTGGCCATTTGTGGGAAGGTTGGCTTGGGGCGATGGTGTCAAAACCCGTAGCCACCATCGAAGAGACCCATGTTAAATAGTTCATCTATGTGGGCGTATAAAAATTCTTTGTTAGAATAAGATGAAATCAAAGTGTAGAAAACATAAGAATAACGCTATGTATGAACAACTGTGTTGATCACGTCTAGATGATAATGAGACTTTTTAATTTTTATTGATTGTCTAATGAAGTTGAGATGGCTTTTATTTATTTATATTTTTTTTGCTAGGTGGTTTACAAATTAAAAGACTATTAATCAACATTATATTGCTATTTATAAATGGATAGTGCTATGTAACCTTAGTTGTGTTTGAACACAAGTCCATATGATCGAATGTAATAGATTTAATTAAATGAGTCTTTTGTCAATTACCCTTTAAAGTTATACTGTGAAATGCTTAGTTAAGTTAGAACAAATTATAAGCTCATTAAAACTGAGCAAGGCACCTAAACTTACTTCAAAAGAGCTTATTTTCGCTCTCTAAGATTTAAAAAAAAAAAAAAAAAGTTGCAAACAAGCACTTAATGTTGTGATGTCACCTAAATTTAGTGTTAAACACCAAATATCTACTTTTAAAGAGTAAACAACCTGTGTTGTCATCCTTCATTTTTTACCCTTGTTTGTTTCCATTATCTGACCATTAAAATGAAAAAATATGATCGTTATTCATCACATCAAGTCATCATATTTGAATTTTTATTTCTTTTGTGAGTTCTTATCGACTATATTTTTCATTCTCATTCTTATATTAATAGGAAACAAACGGGAATATATCTTGTATAAAAGAATGAGTTTGATTGTAATATTTTTCATGAAAAATGTCATTTTTCACTCAAATTTCTACTTTTTTACTGTTTAATTGATATCTTTTTCATTGAATATATTTTTCTACTTTTGGTCATGTGATCATATTTTTCTTAAAAATAGGGAAAATATTTTCTTTAGAGAGAATATGTTTTTATTTTTCAAGTATTTCACTATCTCATTTAGTCCCTTTCTCTCACGTTTACTCACCAATAAAAAATCGACAAATATAACAATTTTTAGATTGAAAATAAAATTAATCAAACACATTTAATTGATAATTTTTAGACAATTGAATTGTCTAAAATTTATTTCATTTTCATGTACCTAAAGATCCATAGGATTGATTGTGGATCCAAAACAACAATAAAAACATTTGAGTCTTTCATCGATTGAATTTCACTCGACTATCTACCGTTCCATTGCAAGTGTGTTCGCAATCAAACACGTCCTAAGTTTTATTTTCAACCAGTCTAGAAGAAAGGTCAAGTTTCGCACCGAAATATGCTTTTAAAAATAATGTTAGATAGCACTCTTCTAAATGTCCTTAAAATAATGATAATTAATACTAATATTTAACAACGATTGAGCTACAATTCCCTAACTTTGTCTAACTTAACAATGACAGAACTCCGTAGCATTATTAAATTCAAACATCTTCTTCTAGAAAACAAGGCCATTATTTTCCATTACTTGGGACGTACTACATTACACTGTTTTTCCTTTTCACGAAACATGTTACTTGTATACTACTACGCCTCCGTTTGGATAACAATTTATATAATTTATAAATTCAATCAAAATAAATATTAATTTTTAATCATACATTCGTAATTTATTGCTCATTTTTTTTTCTACACATTTTATGAAAATCTAGCTATTATTATTCTTTCTTATAAATCATTTATAAATTTGCCAAAATAAGAGGTTTTCTTGTAAGCTAGAATTGACGGGGAAAATAATAAATACATCCTATATCGTGTCTCATGAGCGCACAATCAATTTTAAACAAACTTATTTCCTCATGAGCAAACCTTAGTTAATTTCAAAAGTACGTCTTAAGTAATTTATTAATTTTATTTTTGATCAATAAAAAATTTAGAAATTTCATTTTTACTTAGAAGTAAAAGTTAATATTTTGAAAACTATATATATATATTTTTTAATTAGGGTCAAAACATGGAATTTATTTTAAATCTGATTAATAAAAAGAAAACATGTTTATTTTAATACATGCTTATTTAATCATAAGCCAAAGTTACTTTAAAAAGTAACTCTTTCGCTATTGTCAAATAAATAACTTATTTGAACTTTGATGAAACAATTATTTATTTTCAAATTTACTTATAAGAAAAATTACTTTAAAGTAAAACATGTTATTTTTTAAGAACAACTCTTACATTTGTGTCAAGATAAGTAACTTACTTAATTTTAACTTTGATCAATAAAAAAAGCATTTTTATAAATCTCACTTATTTCCTTGCTTGCTATCTCAATTCAATTCATTTTTTCCTATTATATGGATTGAAAGTTACAAATAATCACTAAGTCTACCTTGTTGGATAGCTAATTTAGCCCCTGTTTGTGGGCAATTATTTGTATAAAAAAAATAAAAAAATTTGAATAGTGATTTTTAAAAGAACTTGTGGTTAAAAGTAGAAAAAAGTTTTGAATTTATGTAAAATATTTTATTGTGTGAATGCGTGGTTGAAAATGAATATGTAAAAAAAAGAGTTTAAAAATAATAATTGTCAAACAGGGGTCTAGTAAAATATTAGGCCTTCCAATCCTAGCTTCTGAAAAAAGAGAAAAGATCATACATGCAACCCAATAACAGACAGCAAAGACTTTCGACTCCAAACGCCCTATAGAATGGATATAGGACGTGCTAAACGCATCATAAGAATTTTAAAGAGGATTTTCGAGATTATTTATATTTAAAATGTCTTTGAATTTGCACTTTCATGCAAAAACTGAAGTTTTGATTCCTTTTATACCAAAAAACATAAAGCATTCAAAGTTAGATTGGACATATGTGTATGAAGAGCTTATTGAATATCGTTTCCACTTAAATCTTATTAGGTTTAACGAGACATCTTGAAGAATCGTCCAAGACAACCATGTTGCTAGAAAAATTGAAGTTTGAGATTCTCATACTAAAGGATATATAAATAATAAGAATTCAAAACTAGGCTGAATTCAGATGCCCGACTAGTACGAATTAATATTTTTTGTCGAATAATTAAAAAAAACCTATCAAGTAATAGAGATTAAACTTGTTAAACAGTTTATAGTTGGCAAAAACATAACTTAAAATAATATTTTTCGAATTCATAAAACTTATTTCTATATGCATGGTAAAATATTACCACAGGAAATTATGATTCATATTCAATTCTAAATTCTAATCGAGGAAAAGTGTCATCCAAACACGGTCTTATTGCCAACCGTTTTAACTGCTTTGAAATTTAAAAAATTTTGCCCCTTTTTCCCAACCCCTAAAACCTACCGTCATCTACCTCCTCTCCTCCCTTTCATTCACAAATGTCAATCAATTATACTTATAATATACTTCCCAGATTTCTTCAGATGAATNTTTTGGGCAAAAGTAACTTGGATTTATATTTCTTAATTTTTTTTATTAAGCGAGAAGATTTAAGATTTTTTTTTCCTCCTGAATTATGAATAATAATAGTTAGAATGATGCTTATATAACAAATGGTATTCATACACAACATGTTTGGCTGGTTCCCTTAATGAGAAAAAAAAATATGGGAATCAAAATCATCTCATAATTGTATAGTCAAATTGATTACGGAATAGTTTGTAGTTGTCAATTTTACAATTAGATTAATGACGTTTGATCAGTTAGTTGTTCACGATATCGTCCCAAAGATTGGTCTACAAAGGAGTCGGTTTAATAGATTGCTATCTTGAAACTTCTTATTCGAAGAATTTAGATCGTTGATTACAAGTTTGTGATTCTAATCAATCCCTTTTATTGAATTGGCCCAAAGTTGGAAAAGGAAAATGGTTAAGACTTAAGAGTGCTTCATTCCACTGATAACATTTACATATTGCCACGATAGAATTTACAATCCCTGTACAGGACCGAGTTAATGTCTGCCTATTTCTTGGTTCTTAGCACTTTCAGTTTGGACTCCTCCTCACAGTATGACGGATGTTATGCGACTATTTTAGTAATGGTGCAATCTCATTACTTTATAAGTTGCAGATAACGTGAATTTGACTTTCAGCTCCATGGTCGGAGAACTAAAAGTCTTAAACCTAATATTGATTCACTTTTAAACCTAATGTTGACTCTTGCAAATATGCAGGAGTGCTATTGTTGAGAGATGCATCCAGTGGGCAGCTAGTTTATTGATATATTCAAGCATTTTAAATTTTCAATAGTTCAAAACCATCTGTTCTATAGGCATTTTTTAAGTTTTGTATTGTGTTTCAATACAGATATTCATATTTGATAGTCGGTCGTGCAATTTACGCATGATAAGTATTCTACAGTGAGTTATTCTAATTTACTTTCTTATTCTGCGGCTCCTGGCATCGATGCCAATTGTTGGGACGTGTACTAAATGCCTGAAGTATTGCAATTTGAACATGTTCATTACAGAGTTTATCTGGAATTTCCGAAAGTTGAGGTTCGATTTCAGAATCTGAAGGTGGATGCATCAGTCCATGTTGGAAGCAGAGCACTGCCAACCATCTCTAATTTTGTTTTTGATATGACTGAGGTAGGCCTACAGAGTAGAGATTTATAATAACGTAAAATCATTTTACCCAGCATTGTTCTAATACTAATGTTTCTGTGGGAAAATGACAAAAAAAAAAAAAAAAAAAAAAAAAAGAGTTTCTTGAGATGGCTCAGGATTTTCCCTGGTAGAAGAGTGAACTTATCTATATTACACAACATCAGTGGAATCATTCGTCCTTCAAGGTAGATATCGAGCTTCATTGAATGGTCAAATCAACTCTTTCATTTTAATGAATTTAATTGATCATTTAGGTTGACTCTCCTTTTGGGCCCCCCAAGCTCTGGAAAGACCACATTTCTTTTGGCTCTTGCAAACTGCCTTAGTCCTAGCTTGCAGGTACAGTGACGTTATTTTTCGTATTGATATTAATGCCCTTTATCAATTTTCATCATTTAAAAATAATTATTCAGTGAAAACTTGTTAGACTTTTGTGTAGATCAAGTATCTTAAATAGGCCATTCACGGACTTGGCTAAGAAGAAACTGTGCTTTAATGCATCTAGTCCTTTCCTGTCTTTTCTGGTAAACAATAGTGTCTTGAAAGCAAAGTAAAAAAATATATTTAATGTCAATATATTTTTTCTAAATTGCACACTCAGAATTGACTCAGCTAATGTTCATTCGATATTGGTGTCCCTAAGCCGTGTTGATCTGTGTATTAACTTTATATGTTTACAGATATTCTGGTGAAATCTGAACATAAAATTTGGTTAGCTGTGTGTTACACTGTCCTATTACTTTAAGTAAATCCACACCGTTGTATCAAGAAGAGCACAAAAATGCTTTTCTTCTTGGAAAATAGAATGACTAGGTATCTCCATGTTAGAACATATTCTGTTGATTTCCTGGAATTTCAAATAATTTGTTATCCCCGCATCTGGTTCGTCCAGGGGAAGGCTGAACCTGGAAATTGGACTTATTTAATTGTTATATTTGTTATTAGATATTGTCTGTTTTTTCTTCTTATCAATGTAGTAAAACTACTTTGCAGATGTCAGGGAAAATTACGTATAATGGATACAATCTGAAGGAGTTTACACCTCAGAGGACTTCAGCATATGTTAGCCAACAGGATTGGCACATTGCAGAGATGACAGTGAGGGAGGTCCTTGAATTCTCAGGGCGATGTCAGGGTGCTGGATTTAAGAGTGGTACGCTTAATTAGAGATTCATGATCTGTTATTGAAGTAATTTTATAAGTACGCGTTTCTTATGCGCTTTATGTGAAATTTGGTTGGGGAACCATCAACTTTTGGCTTAGAAATACTTAGGGAACTTCTGAAGAGAGAGAGAAATGCTGGAATAACCCCGGATGAAGATCTAGATATGTTCATCAAGGTAACTTTCCTGGTTGAAGTTCTCTTAGATTAATGTGGCCCTGAATTTGTGTTCCAAAAGAGCATATTTATATCTGTATTGAAATATTGGTTTTCTCCTAGGCAGTGGCACTAGGGGAGAAGACAAGTTTTCTTGTGGAGTATATCATAAAGGTACAATAAATGCCAGATTTTCTCACTTCTGAGAAAATAAATGCATATTTTGGTCCATGCATATTTTGGTCCATTATTTTTACATTACTTCTCATATATCCATCTGAATTTTAACAAAGATATTAGGATTGGATATTTGTGCCGATACATTGGTGGGAGATGAAATGCTAAAAGGGATCTCTGGGGGCCAAAAAAAGCGACTTACCACCGGTAGCTCCTTCACATTACTTTCATGTTGCTTGTTTGCATGTGCGGAAAATGTTCAGCATTGATTACTAACATATAAACATTTTGGCAGCTGAACTACTCGTGGGTGCATCTAGTGTCCTTTTCATGGATGAGATATCCACTGGACTAGATAGTTCAACAACTCATCAAATTATCAAATATCTAAGGCACAAAACGCATGCTTTTGATTGTACAACACTAGTATCGCTCTTGCAACCGGATCCTGAAACTTATGAGATGTTTGATGACATAATTCTTTTAAGCGAGGGACAAATTGTGTATCAGGGACCACGTGAAGCTGCAATTGAATTTTTTGCTTTTATGGGTTTCAGGTGTCCATATAGAAAAAATGTCGCTGACTTTCTACAGGAGGTACTATTTTGGGGTGCCTTGAATTAAAGTTATGCTCGTTCTTGTTTTTGGGCTCACCTCTTGAATACTCATGATCAGGTTACATCTGAAAAAGATCAACAGCAGTATTGGTTCCTCGACAATCCTTACAGATATGTACCTGTTGAAAAGTTTGTAGAAGGTTTTCAATTATTTCGTGTAGGTAATTCTTTGACCCAGGAGTTGGCCATTCCATATGACAAACGTTGCAACCATCCTGCCGCTCTATGGACTAGTACTTATGGTGTGACAAGGGCCAGGCTTCTGAGGGTTAGTTTCTCTTGGCAGATGCTACTACTGAAGCGGAATTCTTCTGTATTTATTTTCAAATTTATACAGGTAAATTTTTTCCCCTCTCCAACTCTCTTGTTATAGCCAAAATGAAATCTTTTGACCCTGTCCTCATTTTAGTTATTGGCAATCAGAACCTAAAATAATAGTAGTCTGTTGTACTATACAGTATGACCCGGAAATTCTCATACAGGAAAAATGTGTTGCATTTGCAGCTTCTTCTAATTATTTTGATCATAATAAGTGTATTCTTCCGAACAACAATGCATCACGATACACTTGATGATGGAGGTGTGTACCTTGGTGCACTTTACTTTGCATTAGTTATGATTCTTTTCAATGGATTCATGGAGGTCCCGATGTTGATAGCCAAGCTTCCCGTTCTTTACAAGCACAGAGACCTGTACTTCTATCCCTGTTGGATATACACTCTTCCCTCTTGGATTTTGAGTATTCTCCCTTCACTCGTAGAATCCTTTTTATGGGTAGCTGTCACATATTATGTTATCGGCTTTGATCCCCAAATAATGAGGTATCTAGTTCTTTGAATCATCATTTTGTCCTTTTTCTTTTTCTGCTTTTTTGATATTGTAAATATAAATACATATCTAACTTGTTTGATGATGTGCAGATGCTTAAAGCTATTCCTTTTATACTTCTCTTTGCACCAGATGTCAGTAGCCCTTTTCCGCGTGATGGCATCATTAGGCCGAAATATGATAGTTGCCAACACATTTGGATCTTTTGCATTGCTTGTTGTCATGGCTCTAGGAGGTTTTATTCTTTCAAGAGGTCATTTATAACCCATCCCATAACTGTTTGTCGCTAGGAATATGTTCTTGACGGGTCATTTGGCCTTTTCTTTTCCAAAAATAACAATACTATAGCACCAACTTTGTGATAACCTTTCTCAATCCAACAGATAGCATCCCAGTATGGTGGATTTGGGGTTATTGGTTTTCCCCTTTGATGTACGCCCAAAATGCGGCTTCTGTGAATGAATTTCTCGGCCACTCCTGGGATAAGGTATAATGATATATTGATTTTATTTCTGTCTAATCTGCATTTCAGTTCTATTCATTAATATGATTTATTCATTCCACTCTAAATGATATGCCTTCAGTTGTTATGTTTTAGGAATCTGAAACTTATATCCTGAAAAACTATATGGAACAACCATATCCTGAAATATAATGCACATCAGACACTGGTCCTCTCTTGGGATTTAATGACGTTATACTACAGAATCACACTTTCTTCCTTCTAACTTTGAGACTTTTGGCATTTGTTTTCTCCTTTCTGAGGTCAGCATCAATTTAAAACTCAGAAAATAAGGAGGAAATAAATAAATGGTTAAAGAACCACACTTAAAGTTTAGAAAACCTATTTGGTTACTCAGTTTTTAACAGAAGGGAAAAAAGAGGCTTTCTGCTAGTTATTAGTTCTTCCTAATCATTCAATTCTTGAGCTTTTTCCTATTGTGCATCATACCTTTGCTTTTCTGTTACTGATAGAAAGCAGGGAACAACAGTACTTTGACTTTGGGAGAGACATTACTCAAGATTCGTGGCTTATTTCCTGATAGCTATTGGTATTGGATTGGTGTTGGAGCATTACTTGGATACACTCTGCTATTGAATATTCTCTTCACATTAGCTCTGACTTACCTAAACCGTAAGTTTCGTCCCAAGGATCCTATACATCATAGTTTCGAAAATTGCTAACAACTTGGAGATTCTGATTTCTAGTTTCTCAAGTATATTGATTATCAATCTACCATACAATTATCATTAAGTAAATGTAAATATGCACCCTCACTTAATAGATGTTCAAGCTTTTTGACCGTTAAAACAGATGTTTCACCATCATTATACATCAAATCATTGGAAGTTCCCAGATTATGCATGTATTTTGTGCCTCATTCCAGAGAAAAATAGTTTAGTATAGACTCTTTCTTCATCAACTATTCATGACTACTGCATATGACAAATAGTGACAGATGATAGTCCAGAAAACTCATAGAAACTTTGAAATTCAAATTTAGAAAGCACTTAATTGATCTGTTATTAGCTCAATATGATCTATAAGAATTTGCATAGTCATCTGTAGAAGTGATTTGCCATGTCTCTCTAGACTAGCAAATGAGGCATAACTGTAATTTTCCAGCTACCTTATTGGTCCATTTTGTAACAATCAAAAGCCAATTAAAATCGTCTTTTCCAATCTTATACAGCCCTAGGGAGTCAGCAAGCTGTTGTTTCCAAAGAAGATTCCAAAGACAAAAAGGGACAAGAGAGTGAATCGTCCATAATTTCTCTCAGAGACTTTCTTCAACATTCACACTCGTATAGCGGTGTGCTTAAATTATTATACTCATTGATTTGTTTCCTTCTCTTGATTTGGCATAAAAGTTTGCTATCATTTTCATTTTAATTCAGGAAAGAACGTTAACAAACAAAGAGGCATGGTTCTTCCTTTTGAACCTCTTTCAATGTGCTTTAGCGACATCAGCTACTACATAGATGTTCCTCTGGTATATTAACATCTTATTTCTCGTACATGTAAAATGTTTGGAACTCTATATTAGTATTGATAAATTTATAATTCTTCTTTTTTATGCTTTAGGAACTGAAGGGACAGGGCTTACCAGAAGAGAGGTTACGGCTACTGGTAAATATTACTGGAGCATTCAGGCCAGGTGTACTTACAGCATTAATTGGAGTTAGTGGTGCTGGCAAAACTACACTCATGGATGTTTTAGCTGGTAGGAAAACTGGTGGATATATCGAAGGCAGTATCTATATTTCGGGATATCCCAAAAGGCAAGAAACATTTGCAAGAATTTCTGGATATTGTGAGCAGAACGATGTTCATTCCCCGTGTCTGACTGTGTATGAATCACTTCTCTTTTCTGCTTGTCTCCGGTTATCGTCTCAGTGTGACATCAGAACACAAAGGGTATTACTTGGTTCCTTTTCTATTTATTTTCCTCTATTATCTCTAATACCTGATCCTTCGAGGATATTTTATATTGGTTTCAGGCTTTTGTAGATGAGATCATGGAACTGGTTGAACTAACTCCACTACATGGAGCATTAATTGGTGTACCAGCAGTTAATGGTTTGTCAGTTGAACAAAGGAAAAGGCTGACAATTGCAGTTGAGCTTGTGGCCAATCCTTCTATTGTGTTCATGGATGAACCAACTTCAGGACTCGATGCCAGGGCTGCTGCTGTTGTTATGAGAACAGTAAGGAATATTGTTGACACTGGACGGACAATTGTTTGCACTATTCACCAGCCCAGCATTGACATTTTCGAATCTTTTGATGAGGTTTCCTTGTTTTATCTGCTAAGTGATGTTTACTAAAATCAACGCTTTTATTTTATAAAATCTAATTTTCTAAACTGTTTCTTTTTCTTTTTCTTTTTCATTTTTTCTCAGCTTTTACTCATGAAACAAGGTGGACAGCTCATTTATGCTGGTCCATTGGGAAACAGATCTTCTAAACTCATTCACTATTTTGAGGTGAACTCTTTTTGATGAATTTCCTATCTATGCTTTTAACTCTATCTTGAGCTTGACACTATCTCACAACTCAATGACCATTCTATCTTCATTTTCCTAGTCTATTCAAGGAGTTCAAAAAATCAGACCGGGATATAATCCGGCCACCTGGATTCTAGAAGTCACATCAACAGCAGAAGAAGTTCGCCTTGGTTTGGATTTCGCACAAATTTATCTCCAATCAAATTTATTCCGGTATGTGTTTTTTTCTTTCATTTAGGAGAAAGGAATTTCTATCCTACCAATTTCCTCTTTATATTCAATTTTTTTCACCGTTTCAGGAAAAATAAAGATCTGGTCAAAAGGTTAAGCAAACCAGATAAGGATAATGATTTAAGCTTCCCAAGCAGATACTCACTGTCATTTTTTGGTCAATTTCTGACGTGCCTTTGGAAACAAAACTTATCCTACTGGCGAAACCCACAATACACTGCTGTGCGCTTCTTCTACACTGTTATAATTTCACTGATGTTTGGAACAATATGCTGGAAATTTGGTTCCAAAAGGTTTGCTTATTTAAAACTTGAATCTCCTCTATTGAAAGTGGTCAAAAGGTTTAATAGGTAGTGTTTTTCTGATGAAAGAAGAGAGGAATAAACACCCTGCATGCTGTATAATGTGCATAAATATGTCAAGACTTGTAATTGTTATTTGGAGGTTCTTATTGTCAAATTGCCACATATCAGCGACATTTCGTTCCTAGAAGAGAAATTATATGTCGAGATTTGATTAATAAATATACTATATAGATTTTTGGAGACCTTGCTGGCTTAGAATCCCTGATGAGTCCAATCCATTCGAAAAGGAAAAGGTTGCTTGCATGGTTCCGATTATATACCAATGTTAATCCAATTTTCATTGATTTGGGCTGAAGAAACTGCCTCTTTCTTCTGAAGTTCTTCTCTACTCCCCTGTTCTTCCTTTTCTTATCCTTCTTTTGTACTTAAACTGCGTCTTCTGCAACTCATAATAAACAAATCTTCTGGTTTTAACTATAAAATTTGACAGAATATATCTTTACAGGGAAATTCAGCAGGATATATATAATGCTATGGGATCCATGTATGCAGCTGTCTTATTCATTGGGATCACAAATGCTACTTCTGTGCAGCCGGTTGTTTACGTTGAAAGGTCTGTTTCGTATAGAGAGAGAGCAGCAGGAATGTATTCCGCACTTCCGTTTGCCTTTGCACAGGCACGGAATCTTGCCTTATTCTTCTTCCTTTTTTTATCTTAATTTTCAATGTAGTTAATGTTCATGGAAGGATATTCTTACCATTTTACTAAACCTTTTTGTGCAGGTTATAGTTGAGTTCCCATATGTATTTGTGCAGTCACTTATATACAGCACTATCTTCTACTTCATGGCCTCTTTCGAGTGGAATAAATGGAAGTTTCTTTGGTACATATATTTCATGTATTTCACATTACTTTACTTCACCTTCTTTGGAATGATGACTACTTCTATCACACCGAATCACAATATTGCTGCAATCCTCGCTGCGCCATTCTATATGATGTGGAACCTTTTCAGCGGCTTCATGATTTCCCGCATGGTAACTAATCCGTCTCACTTTCATTTCTTGAATTTCATCGTCTAGTCATTAGTGCACATCATCTTTTTGTCAAACCATATAGCCATAGTCCTCTGTAAAATGGGGTGTGTATCAGTCGCTATGACTCTCCAAATATTGATTAAAGTAAAGATTTTAGAAAGGAAACATAATTGATATGATTTAATATCATCATTAGTTAAAAAAGACTCCTTGATGAATTTGTTGATTCATAGTTCCTCTTATCATGATTTTTCTTCTTTGATCAGAGGATTCCCACATGGTGGAGATGGTATTACTGGGCAAATCCTATAGCTTGGAGTTTATACGGGCTTCTCACATCCCAGTACGGAGACATAGACGAATCAGTAAAACTTGCTGATGGCGTTCACTCAGTGCCAGTAAAGCAATTGCTCGAAGATCAGTTCGGGTTTAGACATGATTTCTTGGGTATTGCTGGTATTGCTGTGGTTGGTTTCTGCATAATGTTTGCAGTCACTTTTGCATTTGCAATCAAATTCTTAAACTTTCAGAGAAGGTGAAGGGAAAGGATGAAATTCACTTTCAAATTTGGGTTATGTAGATGTAGGATATCCAGTAAGGTGGAGTTGAAGATATTGGTTCATAATCCTACCTCGTCTAGTATTGATGTCTTGTTCCAATTTTGTTCAAAGGCATAAAGAGAAGAAAAGGTTTCACTTTAATGTTACTTTTTGGGATAATCAATCATTACAACAATTGTTCTTACTAATTTAATCTTCAAGTGTTTGCTTAGATTAACATTCGAGATGAGTTATGAATTGTAATTGAATGAAAGTGATGGTTTTCCAGAACGTAATAGTAAAAAATTCTACGATTAATTCTCAAAACGATTGCATAGAGTTAGGAATTGATGAAACATTAGACTCTTGGGACGAATCCCATTTCCCTCCATGTAATGTAACTAATAAAAATTGAAGATACTTATAATCTCAGAAATTAAATTACTAGAAAATAATACTGTGATTATTAATGTTGACCTCGAAAAATGGCTCTTTCACGTGGCCAATCGAGAGCTACTCCACACATTCCTCCTTGCGCACAATCAGCGAATGGTCAGATGCACACGGTCGGGGACCAACGAGGGTGGTGGCGGCCGTATACACTCCGACGGTCAAGTCAGGTTTAAGTGGTCGGAACAGTACCCAGGGGCTGTGCAAATTAATGATAATGGGGGAGGAGAAAATATATAAGCTTGCTATGGAGTGCTATGTAATCAGATTTTCATTACCTTTGCCTCTTGCCAAACCTTGAGTATTTATAGGTGGTATGAGCCGTTGGATGTGGGACGTGTGTATACATCTGACGGTATGAGGCGTTTGCTCATAAGTGTCAATCAGCCGCGTCTGTAGAGTGGGCGGACAGCTTGTCTCTTCTGAGTTGAATTGACATAAAGTTGTTAAGTCACATCATTTAGCCTCATGGAGACGTCAAATCAATTTAAACCTTAGGTATAGGGAAGATCTTGGCATAAATCTCTTTCTGAAATTGGCGGCGAATCCTCTAACCGGGGTCCGCTTGGTCTCGGCCTCGGCCTCGGGGGCGAGGTACTTTTGGTCAGGTACTACCAGGTTGCAAGTATTGCTGACATCACTTTGGAAACACTTCGGACGGGGTCTTTACCAGGTCGGAACATATGGTGGTGAGAGTCCGAGGCATATCAGATCGGTCTCTCAGATCGGAGCGTAACAGTGGTCCCCCAAGTCCGGGTATGAATATTTATATCACGGGTGGACTTGCTTTCCCGACCAGACTGCGACTTGTGGGAGCTTGGGGGTTGATCTTTTGCAGTAATCGAGGTTGTGATCCGAGGCAAATGTGCCAGCCTTTCGTTACTGTGCGCAGCATCTGAGGCGGTGACCATCATGAGACGGCGCGTCAAAGCATCGTAAGGTGCGCTGACCCACAGGGCCGACGCGTTGGGAGGGCTAAAACTTTGCAAAGCATGGGAGGGAACGCAGCATCCGAGGCGATGACATGCGTCCAAGCTTTGTAAAGTTGAATGAGGAGCTCATCTGCCACCGGTGCGTTGAGCCATAGGGCCGACGCGTTGGGAGATGGCTAAAACTTTGTGAAGCAAAGGAGGGAACGCATCATCCGAGGCGGTTGCGTCCAAATTTTGTAAAGTTGAGTGAGGAGCTCATCTACCACCCGTGTGTTGAGCTATAGGGCCGATGCGTTGGGAGATGGCTAAAACTTTGTAAAGCATGGGAGGGAACTCAGCATCCGAGGCGATGACATGAGTCCAAGCTTTGTAAAGTTGAGTGAGGAGCTCATCTACCACCGGTGCGCTGAGCCATAGGGTCGACGCGTTGGGAGATGACTAAAACTTTGTGAAGCACGGAAGGGAACGCATCATCCGAGGCGGTTGCGTCCAAGCTTTGTAAAGTTTAGTGAGGAGCTCATTTGCCACCGGTGCGCTGAGCCATAGGGCCGATGTGTTGGAAGATGGCTAAAACTTTGTAAAGCATGGGAGGGAACGCAGCATCCGAGGCGATGACCCAACGGGGATTTCGCGTCAGATACGTCCAAGCTTTGTAAAGTTGAGCGAGGAGCTCGATCCGAGGCGATTCAAACGTCAAATGATTTGACAACTGTTGCGTGTTTCCAAGGTGACAGTTGGGTGCCATGCCCATTCTCCCAAAAGGCTGCTGCGGCTACTTATTATTATTGACGGCTGGTTGTAACCGAGGTGACGCGTTTTAAGTAAGCGTGAATGTCACAGCGACATCTTGGGCGTAGATCAAATCTGGCATTTCATTTCAACGACTTAGATTTAAGATGCGATGAACGGCTTAAATTGATCGCATTTGAATTCGACGGTGGAGATCGGATTTGTGTTTCTATAAAAGGAGGACTCTGAGGCTTTCTCAAGCTTTCTACCTTAGCGAAACAAACGTTTTACTTTGCTCTCATGTAATTGGCGATTTCCCGCGTTTTCTAAGCAACTCCGGCGAGAAAATTGAACTTCCGGCGACCTTACACCCTTTTCGGCTAGGAAAACCTTCAAACTCGTAAGTTTAATACCTTCTAGGGCTTTTAAATTTTGAAAGAATGGCCTCGGAGGGAAGTTTTGGTTCGGGGAGGGGGTTAGAACTAATGATGGTGGACGAGCCCGTTGTGGTGACCTCCTCAAAAATAGCTGGGGCAATAATAGGAGGGGAAATATATGGAAGCGATCGGATAGCCCAGCAGATACGTCTGTGCATTGGGGGGCATCGGACTACCCATCTAAATTAAGAGAGGCCGACCTGGGGAGACTTAGGACAGAGTATAGGATCCCTGATAGCATAGATTTGATCCTCCCCGGGCTGGAAGAGAGAGCCTGCTACCCTAGGCCGGGCTGTGTGGCCATTAGTGAGGCGATCCTTAAGGTCGAACTTAGGCTGCCAGTTCACCTATTTTTTAGGATGGTGCTTAGATCGTATGGGCTAGCCCTGACACAGCTCAATCGAAACTCCTGGAGCCAAATGGTGGGCTCCTGGATGTTGTGGAAAGATGCGTCATTAGGGGTGGAGATGCCCCTCTCCTTTTTCCAGACCCTCTATATACCTAAGGTTACTGTCGGGGGGGATAAGACCCGGGGATGGTATTACCTTACTTCATGGGGTTCCCACACTCAATTCGTGGTCGATCTGCCGAGCTTCATCAAAGAATGGAAGAGCTCATGGTGCTGGACCGCAGGGCGATGGGACACGATGGAGGAGGACCCCCTGGCGCCTCTTACGGTCCCGACGAAGTATTCAACACTTAGTGAGTATAGTAGTAGCTTTTCCTTATATTTCTCTTCGGTTCGAATTATGCCTAATAGTTACATTTCCTTTGTAGGTGCTCTTCCTCAGTGCGAGCTGTCATCTGAGGACTTTGACACCATCTGTGTCATTTATCAGCTGCCTCAAAAGAAGATGTCTTACCATAGGTTGATCCGAAAGAACATCCACTTCATCACTCATGATCTGATGGCATCCCAAGGTAACCGGACTGAAGTCTTTATTTTTTTATTCCAAACTCTAAAGACTTGTACTAATTCCTTATTCGCTCTATGCAGACAACTTTAATAAGAAGATGCCGGTGCGCCCCGACTTTAAGACCATCCAGAAGATGATGGTAGAGGCACGGGCGTTGAAGGTCTCCTCCTCCTCGTACAAAAAGCAAATGGAGGATTTGGTGGAAGCCAGTAAGAGGCTTCAGCCTCCGACGGAGGAGGAGGTACCGGAGGACCCGGAGGCTGACCTTCGGAGGAAGGGCAAGAAAAGTACCGCCCCTCCAAGACGCCCAACTGTGGTGAGGCCACCCCCAGCTCTGAGGCAGACCACAATTCCCACCGGGGTGGCCTTTTCGGAAAAGAGGCCCGTCCCAACTGAGCCTGCCATTGCCCTAGCCACAACACCCCTCGCTGCATTGCCAATTGAACAAGTGCCGGGGCAGCAGAAGAGGAAGAGGCCCCGTCCCTCTAAGGAGGTCGACTTTTTGGGCACCAATCCCGAAGAGTCCGTAAGGGAATAGTTGGAGGCTCTTCCTCCAGAGACAGCTCTGCGGTGGCGGTGGTCCACAGCAAATACTGGACAGAGGAGTGGAGAGACCACACCGCCTCCTGGACGGTTGAGGATTTGGTGGCTGCAAACAGCGCCTGCGTGGCTCGGGTCCTGAGTACAAGCGTCCAGCTTGAGGGCTTGGTGAAGGATCTGAATTCTAAGAGGGAGGACCTCGCCAAGCGCCTCGAGGAAGCGATGCACTACGGGGATGCAGTACGAGTGGCCTAGGCCAAGGCCACGCAGGCTGAGGAGGGAAAGAAGGAGGCTGAGGCCCAGCTAACTACCGCCAAAGTAGAAGTGGAACGGCTGAAGAAGGAGTTGTACGAGGTGGAGTGCCAAGTGGTTGCGGTGACTCGGCGGCTTGATCACGCTAATGAGCACCACAAGCTCACCACCGAGGCTCTGGAGGCCTCCAACAAAGAGAAGGCAGAGCTGAGGCAGAAGGCAGAGGCTCAGTATGAGGAGATTGCCTCTTTGAAGGAGGAGTTGAAGTCTGCAGGGGAGGTGGCAGTCCAGAACTTCATCGACCACTTTGAAGACCATCCCCTGTATGACGACTTCACCAATTTCTGGGCCTCATGAAGTGCCCAAAGCTTATTGGGTCGACTGAAGGAGGTGCACCCCACTCTGGACATCTCTTCATTGGAGACAGAGTTCGGAGGGCCAGTGAAGGTCTACCTGATAGGCTTGTCGAGGAGGCTCCGGAGGCCCAGGAGGCGGCCAATGTAAAAGCCCCTCCAGCAGAGTAGGGTTACCTTTTGTAATGGCTTCGGCCTCCTTGTACTTTAAATTTATTCAATGAAGTGAAATTTTTGCTAAGTATTTATGCTTCTGTTTTTTTATCTTTTCTATCTGTTCATACTTGTATGAATGACAAGCGTCAGACAAATTGCCTCGCAACAATAACCAGTTAATAACTGCGGATCGAACCACTCAAGTTAATATAAGTTTAATCACTTAAGCGAGTATGAAGCGACTCTTAATGCTAACCTGTTAATAATTTGAGATCGGACCACTTAAATTAATATGAAGCGGGCCACTTAGCATTAATCAGCTAATAATTGAAGATTGGATCGCTTAAATGAAACTTCTGAAGGACTGAGGAAACTATTCACTAACTGATGTGGCTCGGGACCGAAGATTTATTACTTGAGATAAATTACACCACCCTTTACTAAGGCAATTCTAGCACTTAGGGAATTTTACAACTAAGATCAGATCAGAACAATCGATTTATTATAACATACTGAGATCGGGTC